CCCCCCCCCCCGCAGGGTGTTCTCGCCTGGGACAGCTCTCCTCCCACCAAGCTCTAATGTCTTGAATGGAGTGAAATCCGCCTCCCGGTACCTTCTTCCAGGGGACACTGGTCCTGCCCTCTAGAGCAATGCAGATAAAATCTCTTCCCTTTTCCACAGGATGAGACCTTAACTGTTTGAGAACACAGCTATGAGTCCCTGAGCTGTCCCTCCTCTGCCTGTCTTTGCAGGCACTCCTTTCTTTCTTTCGTTCAGAGTCTAGGAGCCCTGGCTCAGTTGTCCAGTCCTGGCTCTGCCGCTTACTGGCCACATGAGGCTGGGCACTTGCATCCCAGCTTCCTTATCTGCCAAGTGGAGGTAATAGTTCTGTGAGGGTGAGCAGAGGGGATGCAGCAAAGCACTGAGCAAGGTGCAGGCACTGGGTCCAGCCCCATGTAGCTGCACGGTGAAGGTGATGAAGCTCGTGTTACTGCTTCCATACCTGTGTGGCCTGGTTGGCATCTTGTGCACAGACTGTCTGCTGATTGGGACCACAGAAATGGCAAACGCACTAATCAGCCTTCCTCCTGAAAGCCAGTTCTTAAACATGTACCATCCCCTACAACCTGGAATGTTTATGGTTCAAATGATGAAGCCAAGCTGGAGAGTGGGAGAACCCCCACCTCAGTGCTCACCACTGCTTCATCCATGGGCACCGTGGATGATTTGTATTTGAGAAATGTGAAGTCAGCTTTTATATTTTTAATATCCCATACCAAATACCCCTTTTTAAACTTTTTCATTTAGGTTCTTACATTAAGTAACATCAGAGAGCCACAGGGCAAGGATTGTCATTCGCACTGTGTTCTTGAAATTTTCTTTTCCATAATGTTCTGGCCAAGAACCTAAATTCAAAAGACAACATTCTGCTCACTCTCCCCAGCGTTCTTGCTCGTTTCTCCAAATGTCATCTGAAACTTTCCAGTTGGTGAGATTTTTCCCCTCTATTGAAAGCTACCTGACATCTGAGTGCAGTGAAGTAAGGTGGCACTAGCTTGGACCCCACTAACTACCCTGGTTATGATACTCAAAATGCCAGGTTCTCCCAAGGATCAGGTTGTAAAGAAGGTGACATTTATTCAAAGTCACATAAATTATATTACAAACAAGCTACCTTGGAGAGCTGAAAGGAGATACTAGGCTTCCAGATCATTTTAAAAGGACTGTTTCTCAGATTGCCTCTTTATTCTCAGCCATAGTTCACGCTGAGACAGACATGCTTTCCATAACTATATTTCTAAGTTCATTAATATCCTGTGTTTGATTCAAACATGCACATTATATAGGTGAGGGGCAGTCGATTAGGAGCCCATTACTTTGGCCAGTAAGCTCCTGAAATAAAGAGGGTATGTTTTCAAGGTGTTAGGTTTTCCCTGAAAAGAGGCAGACTTCCTCTGGATGGGAATTTATCTGCAAGGTCTTCCTTGCTTTCTTTCTTGGTGGACACTTACCAAGGAGCCCTGGCTGAGTGGCCAGAGTACAAGGATGGGAGATAGAAGGCCTTTCTTCAGAAAATCCCCATCTAGTGAAGAGTGAGTAGTGGTTGAGTTGTACACAAAGCACTGCATTGTAGGAAGTGCTATCCTAGAGCAGACATGCAGCTCAGAGGTTTGGATCAGAGACATACCATAAGGGGAATGCTGGCCCTTCCCTGGCTAACTCACTTTGCTCACCCTGCTTTCCACACCTGTGTTGTGGGGATCATTGTAGTTCTCACATCTTAGGGAAGCTGTGAAAACTTTTTCTGGCATATAGGAATCCATCAAGGTTAGCCATGGTTATGATTATTCCACAATCATTATTATTAAGTATGAATAAGACACTGTGAACACACAGAGGTGGCAAGATCATCCCTTCCTCTTTCCCCCACATCAGGGAATATATTCTAGCAGAAGTGACACTTAGGATGCACTGAGAGATGTCAACTCTGTTGGATGGTGAAGATAAGGAGCCAGAGATGCACACTCTATTCTAATGCTAGAGCCACAGAGCTGGGGAAGGGGAGAGGGGCCAGGAGGGTGGTCAGGGTCATGCTCACCATGAGCAAGCAGCAAAAAGTGGTTCCATTCCTAAGCAGACCTTGAATCCCACACCCCTGCCTGGTCCTTCTTGGGAGGACTTAATGGTTCAGAGCAGAGGAAATCTTGGGTGCAATGTCCCCTCCTCCTTTCTGGGTCCTTCCCAAGTTACCACTTAGCCTTCTGGTGCATTCATCAAGTGTGGGGTAGTCCCAGGTCCAGCACCCCACACAGGCTGCATGAGATGGAAGAGAGAAGACAACCACTTGCCCCTGAGGGGGGCTTCTGGGGAGTTGGTGACATTGTTTCCTGAGCTCAGGGCTGACTACACAGCTGTGTGATTTGTGAAAGTGCATCAAAGGGTATACTTAAGAAATGTGCACTTTTTGTTCGTGTGTTCTACCTTGACTCCTTCCTCCCTGCACCTGCCATCTCACCCACTCAAGGCAGAGAAAAGGAAATGGCGTCTATCTTAGTCAGGCTGCTTGAACAAAACTTCCATAGACAAGGTGGCTTAAACAGCAGACATTTATTTCTCAACAGTTCTGGAAGCTGGAAGTCTCAGGTCAAAGTGCTGGCCAGTTTGGTTCCTGATAAGGGCTGTCTTCCTGGTTTGCAGACGGCTGCCTTCCTTCTGCATCCTCGCACAGTGGAGAGAAGTCGTCTCCCTTGTGTCTTTTGCTGTGAGGGCACAAATCCCATTCATGAGGGCTCCACCCTCATGACCTAATCACCTCCCAAAGGCCCCACCTCCTAATGCCATTACCTTGGGGATTATGGCATCAACCTATGAATTTTTAGGGGGGGACACAAACATTCAGTCTATAACAGCATCCCAGCACAGGGAACAGCGTGCATAAAAGAGAAAGGCAAGGCTGACAAGGAGGCCTCAGGCAATGCTGCACTTCTAGAAGGAAGGTGAGACCATCTCACCAAGTTGGAAATGGAGGGAAAAACAGGCTGGCCTAGAGGACACTTTTCTGCATTGAGTAGTATATTTTTCCCAGTATACTGAGACCTGCATGGGAAAATCTGCCCCTTAATCATTATTTTTGTGGAAAAAACATTCAGGATAATGTTGCTTTCAAGAAATGGTGGGCCTTTGTGGTCTGTTTCGACAGCTAATGGTAAACATTGTTGCGAGCAAGCACTGTGGGTGTCATTCACCAGAAGCTTTCTGTGGGATGGATAAGTTTGGTTTTTTTTTTTTTTTTTTTTTG